ATTAATCTCCAGGAGATAATATTGACTCAAGGGTGCACACATGCACACAGCACACGCACAGACAGCAACTAATAAGTTTGGTTTCTTAGTGTAAAAAATCCCTGACAACTTGCTGGTTGGTTGTGGTGCTACTATGCTCTCCTGTTGGCCAGTCAGAGCAAGTGCTGGTCAGCTCAATGCTACAAAGCCACAGTGAAGATATTCCTGGGATGGCATGAAATGCAGCAGAGGGCAAGAGGCTAAGCTGATGTTTGTATGAAATTGCCCTTAGGCAACAAGATATCTGAAATGTCAGCTCCAACTTCAATGCTCCTCATACTTCTGGCTTCCAGCAGGAATCCAGCAGACAGGATTCAGTTGGCTGAAACAAGCTTTTCAACATTGTGCTTATTATCTGTACTTATAACTTATTTGGTCTCATTCCAAGAGTTCCAGGATGAGCCTCACTCTCCCAGGCTGAGCATTTATGCTACGATGGTCTGTCCTGAGCTGATTTCTGAAGGAAGAAGAAATGAGAATAATTTGATCATACAATGTTCAGTTTAGAAAACTAAAAAAAAAAAATCAGTTTTATTTTACCAATGAGATATAACTCAAATCTGTTTAGCAACATTTGCTACCCAGATTGTGATAGGAGGTGACAAGAATTTTTTTTTCCCTACTAGAGTCTTCAGTTTGACAGTCAGTTTAAGTGAGGTTAATTTTGGAGAAATGCTCTGTTTTTTTGTATAAAACATAGTTCTCTATAGTACCGGTACATAAAAACTAGCAAAATTATGGCATAATATTTTGTGAACATTAGTCCATTTCTTATGAAGTGGCCCGTAGTCCATGAAAGCTTATGGAATAATCATTTTGCTAGTGTTTCTGGTTTAACTCCGGTACTTAGAGAGCACCTTCTATTCACCTTACTTTTGCTCTCCAGCCTCCCTGAAATGGAGTCATTCTGCCACAAACTAAATACAGGGAACAAAGAACACATCACACCAAATTCATCTATTTATCTGTTTGGTTTCTTGAAAAAAAATCTGCATGAGCTGAAAATCCCCCCAAATGCTATTCCCTAGCAAGAATTTTTTGGAGCAGGTGAGGCCTGGGAAGCAGAAGTTCTCTCCCATAAACTCCATGGAGTCATAGCAATTTAAAATATTGCCAAATAAATTAATGGCTTCAGTATAGAATAATAGACAGGCTTAGTTTTCCAAAATGGCCAGCACCGTGGGCCCTGAGAAATCAGAATTTTATCAAAGCAGCACAAATGCTCACATAGAGGCACATTTTAATATTTTGTATAATTAACAGTTCGGACTGAACCTTCTTTAGTAGTGTACAACTTGACAAACTATTATGCCCTTTGTTTATTCTGGCTTATTACATAGTGTGAACATAGCCTTGTTGGTTTGTGCACCATGATGTGTGGTTTATCATATCTTCCCAATGCAGCAACCTTGAAGGTGAATCTGAAAAGTTAAACCTTTAGTGCAAAAGAATAAACTACAGAAATCTAATATCAGAAAGGTCAACACTGATTCTCCCAAGACTTTCTGAGTCTGACTTTAAAACAGTCATTTTGAATACTAGGCTTTCCAAGGGATGTTTGAGAAGTCACTGAATGTAATGATCGAACAGCTTCAATCCATTACTTAGGGCTTGAATTGGGATCTTATCCTAACAGTTTACCAATACCAAGAGGTTGCTTTCCATCAGCTTGTTGTTACTGTCATTATCACAATCTGTAATTTTTTTCATTTAATTTCCCTCTGATCTCACTGCTTGAACTATTAAACATTTCTCCTTCCCACAACCAGGCTATGTATATAGGTATATGCATATATCTGACAGTTTAGGAGAACACTTAAAATCGAATAGTGCTGACCCTTCTCCATAAATGATAGATTTGTTAATGTTTAAATGGTCTCAGGAATTTTTAGTGCGATGGTGTGCAGAAGGTAGTGAGGAAATTTACAAGTAGCTCTCTAGAGATAATGCAATAGATGGCAAAGATTTCTGATTCCAAACTGTTTAAAAAGTGACAAAAATGAGTCTTCCTGGCCCTACATTTTAAAATCATATGTTTGTTTGTTTACGTGTGTGTGTGTGTGTGTGTGTGTGTGTGTGAGAGAGAGAGAGAGAGAGAGAGAGAGAGAGAGAGAGAGAGAGAGAGAGAGAGAGAGAGAGAGAAGAATGGGAGGGAGATAGACGAGAGAGAGACAGAGAGGCTTTTGCACAGACCAGAGAGGGATAATGTTTTACAAAGAAAAGAAACAAAAGTCAAAACTGACTATAAATAGTGAAGGCAAATAAGTTATTTCAGACATGTGGAAAATTGTTATTTTGAAGGCACATGGGAAATTGCCAATGGGGGGGGGGGGAAATCAGCTTCTGTGGTACTTAAAAACATTTGCTCAGTTTATTTGTCTGCCCAAGGCCAATGTTACCCTACACTTTCATGCAGCAATTTCCTTCTCCATTAGGAAGAGGATTTATTTTGCTTTTAGAAAAAGAGGCTGGCCCATTCTTTGCAAGCAAACCAATCAAACTGTCAGCTGTCTTGGTGCTGCAGCTCAGGAAGAGAAATATTCTAGCAATGCAGAGAGCAACCTTTTATGTCCCAGCAGGAGCTGACCTTGTGATAGATGGGTTTGCATGCAATATTGACAAAGTGAAGACTGTAGGAAGTCAGCTCAGTCCCCTCCACCTTCCTTGGCAGTTTCCTTTTCACAACTAGCAGGGTCTCTGATGATAAATTCCCTCACAGGGTCTACTTGAAGAGAGAGATAGTAGGCATGTTGAAATGTTCTCCATTCATATGCACAGCACTGTTGCATGTATAATATCAGCATACACAACTGACAAGAGTTGTGTTATTGATATGTTGTGTAGATGAAGCGATTTCCACCCACCCACCCTATGGAAGTCTGATTTCCCTTATCTGCAGCTCAAAGTGAAGAACTCTTTGTATTATTCTCCTGCATGAATAAACTGGCAGAAATGCTCCAATAAAATTTTATTGGTGGAATTGTAGTCAGAAGAACAGAACAGAACAGCTTTATTGGTCAAGTGTAATTGGATGTACAAGGATTTGTTTCTGGTGCATAAGTTCTCAATGCACATACAAACAACAAAGTAATATCATAAGATACCAATAGGAGAAGGTAGTAGAAAAGATGAGAAGGATAATAGTAATATAGTATACTACATGGGTAAACATCCTTAGACATAAGACAGTACAATGGTAATTAGGTGCTCAGCAGAGTGATGGGATGAGGGGAAAAAAGAAAAAAAAAACTTGTTTAATTATTGCCCTATAGCAGAGTTCTGAGGGGAGGAGTTGAAACAGTTTATGTCCAGGATGTGAGGGGTCTCTAGATATTTTCTCAGCCCTATAGGTCCTCAATGGAATGCTGACTGGTTGCGATATTTTTTTCTGAAGTCCTAGCTATACATTGAAGTTTGTATATGTCTTGTTTAGTTGTACCACACCAGACAGTTAGTGAAGTATAGATGACAGACTCACTAATTCCTCTGTAGAACTCTATCAGCAGATCCTGGGGCAGTCTGAGCTTTCTGAGCTGACAAGGAAGAACATTCTTTGTTGTGTTTTTTTATGATGGTTCTAATGTTAGGTGCCCATTTCAAATCCTGGAAGATTATAAAACCAAGAAACCTGAAGGTCTCTACTGTTGATACTGTGTTGTCTAATGTAAGTGATGATAGAATAGGAGGGCTCCTCCTAAAATCCACTTTCATCTCTACAATGTTAAGTGTGTTCAGCTTCAGATTGTTCTGGCTGCACCACGGGGTCAGTTGTTCAATCATCATCATCTTGAATGAAATCAATCATTGTTGTATCATCTGCAAACTTCAGTACTTTAACAGAGGGATCCTTCAAGATGCAGTCATTGGTATATAGAAAAAAGAGTAATGGAGAGAGCTCATAGTCCTGGGTGTGCAGCTGTGCTAATTGAATGGCTATGTTATCTGATCTTATCTAGAGTAGATGTAGATATCTACTTGCTGATTGTAGAAATCTCCCAGAAACAAGCTAACACAAAATTTATGGTTATTCATGGATTAATGGTTTCAATGTCTATAATTTTGTGAAAATCCACCAAGAGATGAAGATGAAGGATATGTCTTGCCAACCCAGTATATGAGTAGCAATTCTAGAAATAAAAACGAATTTTTCTTTAACCTTATTTACTGTTCTGTTCGTTTCAAATAGAAATTTTTTTGCTTTTAGTGAGAGTGTAAAATTTGCAGCACTCTTTTTCCTCTCTTGGAATGATAAATTATGGTATATTCAATTAAATAGTAATCATAAAAATGTACTACAATATATATTTATTCTTTCTGCATTACATCCTGCTGTACTTTAAACTGGTTTTATAAATGGTGGGTTACTACTGCTCACTCCTAATAAGCTGTGACATCTGAATGGGTATCAGCAAGAATGGCTCCTGTGAATTAAGGATTGACTTCATGTTTGAGATCTGAATTTGCTGGAACAATTTATCTGCTAATCCCCTTTGGTAGACTATGCAGCTGCTTCTTCAAGTCTAAAGGAAAGCACAGTCCATCCAACCATAACTTCAATTTAAATTGGGCATAGTACCATCCAAGACCCCTACTGTGGAGTTTGCTTACTGTAAACATGTTAAGCTGATACTTTTTCCTTATATGATTATTTCCCATATGTTCCCTCTTTCTTAGTTTGGATACATAAAGCTTCAGTACTATAAGAGTAGCAAAATCAGCTAGTTAAAATGGGGAAAATGCAGTTGATGTGGAGCTGGAGCAAATCTTTCTCCTCCTATTTTCCCCATAACATGAAAGAGAGAGTGATTGGCCCAAGGTCACTCAGTTGGTTTTTATGGCTAAGGCGGGACTAGAATTCTCTTGCTTTCTACCCTGCTGCATTAATCACTAGACCAAACTGGCTCTCTGATATGGAGGAACAGGGGAGAAAGAATGCAAAAGATATTCTTGATCTAATTTTTTTTAAGCTGCTATTTTTACCTTCCCAAGGTTTTGATGAAAGCTTGCCCAAACCTATGCTGTCCAATTTGTTGGAAATTTTGGGAACTGTACTACAAATACTTATTGTGGCAAAATTCTGGTTTGCTTATGAGCTACTCAACCTCATCCTGCATCGGCATCTGCTTATTGGTCAATGGCCAAGGAATGAAATGGACACCATCCTCTTTGTCATGGGAAAGTGGCTGCTAAGAAGGTATGCTTAATGGCTGAGAGACTTTAACAAGATGAATATCACCTGTGGAAAAGATTACATGCTATGCTAGGCAGCAAACAGACCTTTGCTGTTGCATTTGGAAACTATTTATAAAACCTATTAGGGACAATAAAGCAGAACAGCAAAAAAAGAACAAAAAAGACCCTATCTATTCATAGTAGGCTTCTGACTCTTGGGTTCCTTCCCCTATCCATTATATTAAATGACCAGATTAAAAGTCAGATACATCAAAAAATAATAATATTTACCATGATCATTGGTGACAGCAGCAATGTGGAAATGGGTCACAGTGACAATTGCATTGCTTAAAGTTGCTAAACAATGTACCTTCCATGACCTGAGCTGTGATTCAGATTGCACGGCTTGTTGCTGCTTTGGAAATCACTCAAAGGCAATAATCAACTGGCAAACTTTCTTGAAATGGTTTGGAGAAAGTAAAAATAATGGTACGATAAAAGTAAAAGCCTTGTGGAGCTCCATGTTCTTCTGAGAAAAAGATTGTTCCATGGATAACACTTCAGTTTAGCAGCACTTTAATAAGACCAAGAGGAATCGGAATGGCTCCCTACTTCATTGGACCTGAGTAATCTGTGCAAACAGGTTGACTTGGCCCAAACAAACAGTGGAGCTAAGCTGACTTGTTTCTGGAGTTGGAGAAAATGCCCTTGGGAGACAAAGCAAATTGAGTTCCATGGTCAGCCAAGTGTTGTCTACTTTGCTTCCTTTTTTTTGCATGATAGACAATCCCGTCCTGCTGTGCCAAATTAAGTCCATACTTGCCTGCTTAAATGACTAGGTAATTTGTCCAATGAAATTAATTATATCTTCCTAGTGGGAGGATCATGCAATGGGTGAACATATGAATTTGAGATAATACCTAAAAACTAAAGAGGCCAAAATGAATCAATCTGTTGAACGATATGAATTTTGATAAGTAGCATGATGTCTGAGCTCTAAAATAAATTCTGAACTCACTTATTTCAATTCAGTTCAGAGAAGGCCATATCAATGAAGCTCAATGATGAGTAACTTACCCCAGAGATTTTATATACACATAGAAATATTTGTTTAGTTTAGACATATATGAAAATGCATGTAGACATAAGTGAAAAAATACCAATTACATCTATAAACAGAATAAGGGAAGATGTAACATAATGCCATATAGGAAGGGAGCGAGTGACAGAGGGATGACATGTAAGCCTTTATATAGGGTCTAGAAATATAACCAAGGATCAGAAGAAATGAGGAGGGGGAAGTAGACACAATCTATATGGCTAAAGGTAATTATCTTTTATAGATTGTGTTAGGAATTGTAAAGATTGGCATATCCTGTTACTGAACAACTTAAAAAAATGTATAAATAATCCTCAGATGGAGTCCCAGAATATAAAATCATTTCTTGCAGCTGCTCATATAATTTCACTTGACAGATGTACAAGGAGAAGGCCTCCAAGATGATTGAATTACTACACTTTTTTTATTCTTTTAAAGGTACTGTCAATTCCTTCCCTTGTTTTGCTGCAGCCCTTAGATTAATATGATATAACCTCTCTTCATGGCTGCTGCCATCTTGGCTGAAAGCATTAAACAGATCTGATTCAAACATTTTTAGAGGTTTCTGTATCTTTAAACAATGTTAGTTAGATTGACTAGATTGAAGTGGCATTAAAAAAAACCCGTGCAATAAATATTTAACCATTTAGAGACCTGCCCCACTAGTTCAGTGATATTGACTCACAAGTAAAAGCATAGGATGGTATCATAGGATTGTAAAAGAAGGAACTTTAATGGAACATCTGCAGCATTTCTCTTAAATGTCAAATACAGAAAAGAACAAGGCTTTTGCAATTTTAAGAGTAGATTTTGTGAGGAAGGGGGAATTTAAACAACTGCAGTTTGTTGTGCGAATGTTGGCTATAGAAATCATCTCTTGGAGACAACTTTTAAAGGTGTAGGATTCTGGATTTCTTTGTATCTTATCCCTGTGATTTCTGATACTAAGGAAAAATATGTGATTTTGCAGATGGCTGTAATAGATGACTCTTCCAGTGAGAGGAAGGAAAAAAAGATCCCTGGGTTCACATATTATAGTAAGTTATTGTTTGCTTAATCACTGTTTATTGAACAAGTGATAATTTGCTGGGTTGACAGAACTAGCTAAACCAAAAACTGCAACTGCAAAAACTGGGTGGTCTATAAAGGAGGGCAAAACTGAACAAACATCATGATTACTTAGTGTAGTGTATGAATCAGGTCTTAGCAGGCTAATCTTGATAGCAATAGCATTTAGACTTATATACCGCTTCACAGTGCTTTCACAGCCCTCTCTAGGGGCTGTGCCCCCAACAGTCTGGGTCCCCATTTTACGGACCTCGGAAGGATGGAAAGCTTGAGCCGGTGAGACTCAAACTGCCGAACTACTGGCAGCTGGCAGTCAGCGGAATTAGCCTGCAGCACTGCATTCTAACCACTGCATCACCACGGCTCATTGATAATGTTTTGCTCATCTTATTTGTTAAAAGCGGAAAGGTAGATGTTTTAACAAGCTAAAAAAGGATTCAACCACAAATGATCTGAGGGGCTGCATTTAGCAGATGAGATCCTTCACAGATTTTGTCAAGTTCATTTGCTATGAACATTTCTTTTAAATTAAAGTTTGGTATAAACTGATATATTAGCCTCTTAAATCTCACAGACAGATTCAGCCAACAGTGTGATCCTATTTTGCACATTGCATCTGAAATTCATCCTCTGAGTCATTTAAAAATTAGGCTGGACATTACCCAAGAGGAAATACTGTAGTAAAATATTGTACATTGCAGTCCTGAGGTTAAAGGTCGGGTGACTAAATCATATCTGTAATTTATTAGTTGATTCTAATGTTCATGGAGGGCTGTAGTGAAAGGGCATGCAGTTCAAGAACCAGGCAGCTGAAGTACACATCTCTCTGGGATGTTCTCATGAAAAAGCATCATTATAACTGGACTGAATGGGAATTGAGAAAACTTGCAACAGAAATGCAAACAACTGAGGAGTTCTGCTGAACAAACCCTGTGGGATCAATTTTGTCTGAAAGTGGCTATTGCTAAAGCGATTCCAGTGGGATGTGTCCCAAATCTATTAGATAGGCTAAAGTGTAAGGAGAATTTTAAAATCACTATTAAAAAACCCCCACTCCTTTGTAGAACCTGAAAATCTCAACATTTCTCATTAGATGGGAAAGAAAGATCCAGTGTAGAAACAAGAGCCACCTACAGAAGTGAAGGTTTGTTTGCTTTCTTTCTCCACCCAGGACTTTAAATTTATGTACAGTCCTATTCATTTCTGTATTTTGATGCTTCCTTCTATTGCTCCTGCCCTTAACTTTTTTCTAAGATGTTCTTGGCAGAGCCTCCAAGTAGAGATTTTGCAGAACCTGCTTTCCAGAGAGATTCCCTTCACCACAGTACACTTCCTATGACCTGTTTAATTGAGCTTGGACAGTGTGGTCATTGTACATCTTGGGAACACCAAGAAAATAAGAAGGGCCAACATATTCCCAAATCACAGAGGAATTAAAAGAACTAGCAGAATAGGATTAACTCAAAACAAACTAGTCTTGCATAGGGTTCAAACAACTCTGCCCAGTCACCCATGGGCAGAGAAAAATGTGTATTTTTTCTGATCTAGACATCGAAGGGGCGAGAGTGGGGGAAGAGGTAGGAAGAAAGAATGGATCAGAAATCAATCTTCTTTATGAAAGTAGTTCCAGCTATCATTTGACTTCAGCAGTCAAACCATGACTAACATTGCTTGCTTTTCCATTGGAAAAGATGCTTGAGATATCTTGATATCTTGCTACTGTTCCCCTGATAGGACTCATGAGATATAGACAGCTCCTGGGGAAAGTGAGTGAGGACTTTTTATTCCACTTGAATAGGTTTGTGGTTATGCAGATTAATTTGCTAAAGGAACATGGTCTTTATGACATCAAACTTTCTTTCTCTGCATGTACCTTTGTTTGGAATCCATGAAATTTAGAACATTAATGCAAAAGCCAAGAACATGGGGGCAGAACCTCAAACTGACAGAAGGATAGTTCAAAAATAATGTTAGAAAGTATTATTTCACATAAAGAGTGTCAACGCTCTTTATGTCAGTTCCTCTTTTGACAACTGATGGAAATTACAGCCATTTTTACTTTGCTTTTAACATGCTTTTTCTTCCGTTTAGAGATCTGGTGTTGAAGGGGGATGGGGTGAATGCTTGACTCAGCTAGCAATAATAATAATGCAACTCCTTGGGAACTCAAGGACACAAACTGATAATGTTTTGGTGGGCTGAGGAGCTGAGGAGAGAGCCGGTGCTCCGTGCTAATAGGAGAATATGAATTATGACTGCTTAGTGGGGGTGGGACTTGCAACTTGTTACTTTGTATCTGGGGGAAGGGAATCTAGTTTTGGGTTCAACTATGTAGTGCCAGTACTTTGTTTCCTGAATAAAATGTTCTTTAAGGAAGAATTCTTGCCTTGAAGTTCTTTAATGGGTTTCATCTATCGGAACCATGACATAGAGTAGTGGAAATTTGGAACCAACTTCCAGAGGAGGTCGTGGGTCAATTATCAGTAAGTGAGTATAAAATGCTTGGGATAACACATATCCATCATCTGACAAAAATAAAAAATAATAAATACATAAATTAAAAAGAAAACAAAAAAACCTTGAAGGCAGACTCGATGGACCATTAGGTCTTTTTCCTGCCATTGGTTTTCTATGTTTTTATGTTTCTCTGTTTCTTTAGATTGAATTATAGTTGAACTTAGTTGCTGAACTTTTTCTTGATGAGGATAAGAATGTTCTGTGCAGGAATTTTAGTTTTCAAGTTGATAGTTCATGGCTTAAATTTAATTTTCTGTTGAACTGGGAGATGAGGCAAAATGTACTTAGCCCATGAAGATTCAATCATTGTCTGTTCACTGACTTCAAACTAACTGTAGTAAATATTAATTAATCAAGTCAGTCAGGCAGCAAGTGAAGATAATATAATCATTCTTTTTTGTGTGGGTGAAAAAATGGGTGTGGCATAGGTAATATACATAAAGAGAGAGCATTTCCTCCAATATCATGACTAATCCCCAAGGACAACCTGAAAATACAATAGGAATAAAGAGGAACAGTATCACAAGGATGAAAGGTAGATCTGTGCTTACAGGAAGATCACTGAAAGATGTAGGAAGATAATTACTATAATTAGTAGATAGTAAAAAGTTCATAATCTTATTTTTAATTTCTATCCTACCTTTCTTCTAGGAGCACAGGTTGGCATGTGTAGAAATCCATTTCCCATTTCCTCCCACAAAAACAATTCTGTGAGGGTAGGCTGGATTGAGAGAAATAAAAGGTTTGGCTCACAGTTGCCCAATGACTAAGGCTGGACTTGAAGCTGGGCCTGTCTATTATTAGTCTTTTTATATACATTTTTATTAAATTTCATTATAATGTAAAATAAAAATAGAGAAAAAAGAAAACTAAGAAAAGGTGGAGAGAGAGAGAGAGAGAGAGAGAGAGAGAGAGAGAGAGAGGGAGAGAGAGAGGTGACTTTTGCTTTTTTATGTGCATAAAAATAATATAAAAAAAATAACCTTTAACTTTTTGCTCTACATTTCACAATATTTTAAGCCATCTTTACAATAACAAAATCATCCAAACTTAAAATCAAAGTTTTTGTAGAGCCAGAGTACAGTAAGATTTTATAATGAATGAGTTGAGGATCCATTTAGTTCTCGTGCACTAAATACAATTGTTTTAAAATTTTCTGGGTACGGCATTTTGTAATTCTCAGTGTGTGCATTTCAGTCCAGTCTCCAATTGATAAATCTTGGGTTCCAGTAAAAACAAGAAAGTAATCTTGATAACTTGAACCTGCCCCCCTTCTTTCAATAGCACAAGCCAGATAAACAGTGGGTTTTGCTTCTAAGAAGCAGGAATCTTTTAAACTGAAGCCCCCCTTCATCCTACTAACTACGATAATTCAGGAGCCATTGATCTTCTTCCAGGATCTTCTATGAGTCATTGAGTCTTGACGTACACAGCTTCTGCCTTCTTATTCATTGCTCTCAGTACATGCTCTGGAATAATCTGATTTAAATGTTTTATTGGGGGTGGGTGGGTTTCTTGTACACCACTCAAGCCTATTGGAGTAGAATGGCCAATAATTTAAATAAATAATAGTAATAAATAATAATAATTGTTGCCTGACTTGTTCCACCAGAAACTCATGCTTGCCAGAACAGGACAGGATGAGACAGGTGGTGTGCTACCAGAGTATCCCACAGATTGAGAACCAAGTTTCAGAGTTTTCAGAAGTGACCCAATTCTGTTAATGTGCAGCTGGTAGGTATCATGCCTTAACCAGAAAAGTTGTACATGTTGCAATAGTCAGAGTCAGTGGGCTCCCTCTCACCCCCTCCCCTCAAGGAAATTATTTGATTCTCCTGAGAACAGAGGCAATTTATGTTGTGGGTATAAAAGCAGAACAGAGCAAAAAATCTGTGTTGTATCCTATTCACTTAACTTGGCTTTGTATTTAGCATTACAGTTCTCCTTGCTTTTCCTGATCTGTGCCTGAAGGGAAGGGAAATGAGTTAAAACCATCTTCAGATACGTTTGTATTGATTCTGTCACATTTTTTACAGCTTGCTGACAAGTGATGGATGGCATATAATGCTGCTAGCACTGTACATTACGTTTCACATCCAGAGACTCCTAAATCATTTCAAAATTTCAAATTCCCCAATCAATATTTTAGTTGAAGAAAGCAGAATAGGTTCATTTTGCTGGAGGAATGAGAGCAGAATGGGTATATGCAGGGCTTTTTTTCCCTCATAGAACGCCCAGAACGGAGTTCCGGCACTTTTTTTAGATGGAACCTTGTAGGGTAGGCAAGGCAGGTTGTGTGACGTGTGTGAGTTCCGGCATATCTCTCTCTCTCTCTCTCTCTCTCTCTTTCTCTCTCTCTTTTTTTTTTTTTTTACAAAAAAAGCACTGGGTATATGTGTATGCCAGGCAGGGAATAGTGAGAAGAATATGTGTATTTAGCTGAGCTCTGCTTTGGTTGTAGAAACAAGTCTTTGGATCTGGAATGTCAACATTTTTTTCCCCTTAAAAATATCACGGACTGAGCAGAGTGTCCATTCCTCACTCACTCTATCACTCACAGATTTTTCCTTGAAGGACGGTGTTACCCAAGAGGAATATAAAATTTTAATTCTGTAGTAAATTATAGTAAGCCGCCTTCCCATTTTTTATTGGATTACTATGAGGGAAAAGAGGTTTCACTCTTTCTCTTCTCAGTTACAACTTTTGGTATATCCACCTGCTAGACTGCAATTAATAATTGTAAAAAGGCCAATAAGATGTGGGTTTTTTTCCAAATGAATACCTATAATACATATGGGTAGTGTGTGTGTTTGTGTGTGTATTTGAGAGTGAGAGATAAATTGTGTTGATCAGGGAAGGGCCAACTGTTTCCTCCCTAGGCACTGTTATTTTGATAAATAATGCAAATCCCATTCTTAGTATTAAATTGAGAGAGAGAGAGAGAGAGAGAGAGAGAGAGAGAGAGAGAGAGAGAGAGAGAGAGAGAGAGAGAGAGAGAGAGAGAGAGCACAAAAAGAAGTATCTGAAACTGCCTAAAGCATTCATGTTTCCCTCTAAGTTTTTATCTCTTGCAGCCTCTAGACTCTAGAGGCTATTTGCTTATTTATGAACTTTCAAACTGCATTCAGACAATCTTCACACAATTCCTTTTGGGTCTGGCCAAGTGACATTTGGAGGCAAGGTCTAGGAGCTGTTTTGTTCCATTGAAATGGAACACCTCAGTGTGATTTTATTTGCTTTTATAACAGCTTCTTTTTCTTTATCTGCCTAACCCATGTTTTAAAAAGACAAAACAGGAGCCCTTGTTAGACTGCATGTCAGTTACGTTGGATGCTTATCCCAACACATGAGAAAGTCACAAGGCTGAGAACAGTTGAGGCAGATGGTGAATCAGTTATTCCTCATTTGATTTCCGTATATATTTTGAAAAAAAATACCACTGTTTGGATAATGCATTTGGATAGTGGATCAGCTGGATCGGCTGCGGCTGCATTGGCTCTCGAAGGTGAAAAGTTATGGGAGGAATATTAAGGGATATAGACCACATGATCAGGAAGGTTTTAATGTGTTTGAGCAATGTGGTGGAACTAAGGTAACATACAACATACGACTGACAATCTTTGCTGGCATGGCGAGTTTCTAGCTGTTTTGGAACTGTTGATGAGACCGTTAAAAGTCGGTGCTGTTTGAAATTGTTCTGCTGGCAGCAAGATCTGACTGCTGGCCCAGCATCAGATTCTATTGCAAATAAGGGCTGTTTCCAAAGGAGGCAGAGGAGGAGAGGTCCCGGGGCTTATGGAGTGAAGGAACTGGATGAGGCTGTCAGCAGGCCCAGAGGATGGGAGAGAGGCTTTTGGAATCTTGTAGAAAATGATAGACTTTTACGAATTCCAGAGGGTTTAGCAGAGAGATTTATTTGCACAAGGTTCAGAAGCAGTGAAGACAAGCAATTCTGAACACTGAAGGAGGGTTCAAACTACAGTTTTATACATTTCTTATCTCAGGAACAAAGGGATACACATAGAAATCTACATTGTAATACATCAGATTCATTTCTCACTATTAGATTCATTTCTCACGGGCACACATTAGTGATACACATTGTATTACTTTAGGTTAGTTTCTCACAGGCATACAATGGACAGTTATGCTACAGACATTGTTTCCAAGTGCAATGTGCATTTGGTTAGTCACAGATTGCTAACACAGCTTTATTCCAGTAATAATACAGACACATCATTGCTTTAATGATTTTTCATCATTATTATTATTATTATTTCACATTATTCTATATTATTCTACCTTAGGAGGAGTTGGTGGTGGCGGCAGTGTTCTCCAGGGGCGAAAAGGAGTGAGGCCTCTGTAAGGAAAAGGTGGAAGAGACAAGATCAGAAAAAGGAAAGGAGGTGAGGTTGTTGTGCAGGAATACAAGCCAATTTGAGGGCTAATCCACATGGAGCTCCGTTTCCATTTGTCCTGTTTGCCATCGTTCGCTCCCTAGAGACTAAAATGGAAGATCTGTAACTTGAGCTGGCCACGAACAAGGAGTGTATATCGGAGGTGGTGATCCTTTGAGACCTCCATGCAATGAAATTTCATTTTGATGTATGCCGATTGGTGTACTTTCAAAGTGACAATAAAGTTATTATTATTATTATGGATCATCGCACAGTCAGCCAGATGTTCAGACTGGATTTGGCATTTTGTCTACCTATTGAGTCCTTACCAAGGACCTGGGATAGGCAGATGTGGATGTTTGATGGTATTACAGATATCGTCGCAGGATGGAAGCCGCCTTTTGCAATTTACTAATGGCGAATTTGTCAATGCCAATGTTGTTCAAGTGATGCTCCAGTTGTTTTGGGATTGCACCCAAGGCACCTATTACTATTGGTACTGTTGTTGTTGTTAATAATAATAATAATAATAATAATAATAATAATAATAAGCAGCAGCAAGGGTAGTACCAATAATAATAGGTGCCTTGGGTGCAATCCCAAAATAGCTGGAGCACCACTTGAACACCATTGCCATTGACAAATTCACCATTAGTCAATTGCGGCCTTAGTAGGAACTGCTTCCATCCTGCAACGATATCTGTAATATCATCAAACATCAACATCTGCCTATCCCAGGTCCTTGGTAAGGACTTGATAGGTAGACAAAAATGCCAAATCCAGTCTGAACATCTGGTTGACTTTGCGATGATCAATAATAATAATAATAATAATAATAATAATCCCTCAGTGAGGCACTACCTTGACATGGTTGTGGGGCTTGGGTACTCTGAGGAAGATGAGAGCTATGCCAGAGGTTCAACCATACTGGACAGGTCTCATCAGAGGAGTCAGACAAAGAGTGTCTCCCATAAAAAATATGGTGAGATGTAAATTTCAGAATGCCATACCGGCTCGGATGTCGCCCGGGTTAACAAGGTCCGTGCTAGATATTGGAGTTCCTGGATATCTGGTGAAAAATGGGTTACAGGACTCAGGACTGTTGGCTGAGCAACCAGGGCCAGCAGCTGCAGAACTACTGGAAGAAAAGGTGTCTACCCGTCGCAGATACACACTGATTGAAAACAAAGAAATAATGATCTGTTACTACAGATCAAGTCCAACAAGACGAGGATATCTAAAACGAATGCACCAGTTCTGGAAAGAACAATATCCAGAATCAGAAATAACAGAACAGAGACTAGCAGATCAACGCCGATTTATAATACGAAATAAAGTATTCACAGAAACAGAATTGGACGAACTGCAAAGGTTTACCAGGGCAAAGAAATGAAAGCCTTACCAGAAGTAATTCAGAATGTAGAGGCAAACCAGGGGGAGTTGGCAGTGAAGGAATCCAGCAGAGATATACAACTGTTCTCATTTGGAAACCAGGCACCTCTTCCTCAGGAAGAACAAAACCCGCTAACTAAAGAAATAAAAGAATTGAAACAAAGAATAACTGAGCATCTAGAACAACACAAAAACAACAGAATAAGGTTACCTGCATTGAAGCTTGTTCCAAAGAAACAGCTAGCACAAGCATTAAAAGATGCAAATACTGCAATATCAAGTATAAGCACCAATTCACTGCAAGAAACAAACCAACTAATGTACAGCACAGCTGCAGTTACAACTGAATACCTGGGATGCAAAATTAACAAAGAAGAAAAACAAACAAACAGTGCATCACAAAAATGGAAGGTTAGACTAGAAAATAAGATCAGCAAGTTAAGATCACATGCAAGCAAGCTAGAACAGATGAAAGAAAAAAAGCTGAAGAACAAGAAGACCAAAGAATACCTAATCAAGAAATACCACTTAGAAACAAGGAAGATCAAGGAAGCACTGGAAATAATAAAGCAACAAATAACAGCTATAGCCAGGAAAATCAGTAGATATGAAGCTCGAATTGCAAACTATAGGCAGAACCTCCAATTTCAATCCAATCAGAAACGTTTCTACCAATCCATCAATGGAGAAACTGCAATGAATCAGTCAGTATCTGACAAGGAAGAAACAGTGGAGTTCTGGAAGCAGATATGGATAACCCAAAGAAATACAACAAGGATGCAGCTTGGTTAAAAGAGGTGGATGCAAATAAAACAGAAGTTGAAATGAAAGAACTAGTGATAACAACAAAAATGGTAGAAAAAGAGCAAGGAAAATCAAAAATTGGTCAGCACCAGGTGAAGATGAACTGCATGGGTTTTGGTTGAAACATCTAACTCAGTGGTTCTCAACCTGTGGGTCGGGACCCCATTTGGGGTCGAACGACCATTTCACGGGGGTCGCCAAACAAGGCAGTCCGCCATTTTTTCCCCCTTTTCTTTGGCCAGGCCCCTGGCACCCAGTGATGTATAAGTGGTTGGGGGTCACCACAACATGGGGAACTGTATTATGGGATCGCGGCATTAGAAAGGTTGAGAACCACTGATCTAACTGTTATACACCCACTCATTGCCAAGCAGTTCAACAATATACTACAAGGAGGAGAAATTGAAAAGTGGCTAACAACTGGGTAAACCTACCTAATAATGAAAAATCCAGCAAAAGGGGCAACACCAGGCAACTACAGGCTAATTACCTGCTTACCAACAACTTTCAAATTACTAACTGGCGTGGTAGCTGATGCAGTACAACAGCATCTAGTTGAAAACAATCTCTTTCCACCTGAGCAAAAAGGAAACCGCCCCAATAGCAGAGGAACAAAAGATCAACTCCTAATAGACAAAATGATCTTGCAAGAAAAGGAAGACCAACCTGAATGTGGCATGGATTGACTACAAAAAGGCATTTGACTCTCTGCCACATGACTGGATAATCAAGTGCCTAGAAATAACAGGAGTCATTAGAAACATCAGAAAATTTGTGCAAAGATCGATGGCACAATGGAAGACACAGTTGCAGATCAATGGTGAGAGGCTGGGAGAGGTTAATATCAAGAGAGGAATATTTCAAGGAGATTCATTATCACCATTACTATTTGTTATTGCACTGTTTCCTCTGTCAACAATACTGAATAAGTCAGGACACGGCTATCAAACATCAAAAACATCTACAAGACTATCCCATCTCCTTTACATGGATGATCTGAAGCTGTATGGAAAAACATCATCTGAAATAGAATCGCTGCTCAACACTGTCCGTATATATAGCCAAGATATTGTTATGGAGTTTGGCTTGGACAAATGTGCCTCTGGATGAGGAAGATTTCTACAAATACTTGGGTATCCTTCAAGCTGACAACATCAAGCACACTGAAGTCAAGAAAAAGATTAGAGGTGAATACATCAAGAGAGTGAAGAAGATCTTAAAGTCCAAACTCAATGGAGGAAATACCATAAAGGCAATCAACACCTGGGCAATTCCAGTCATTAGGTACACAGCTGGAATAGTGGACTGGACTCAAGCAGAACTAAAAGCAATGGATAGGAAGACCAGAAAAATAATGACAATGAATCACGCCCTTCATCCACGCAATGACATTGACAGACTTTATCTACCAAGGCAAATAGGTGGGCGTGGAATGCTACAAGTACATCAGATGGTTGAAGAAGAAAAAATGGCTTTGAAAGAATATCTGAAGAACAATGATGAAGATGCACTGAAATTAGTCTATCAGGAAGGCTTACTGACTACTGGAGAGACCAAACTGGCCTACAAGAAAGACCAAATGAAGAACAGAATAGAGGCATCGGAAGACAAAGCACTACATGGCCAATACATTAAAAAAATAGCTGGGAAAGCAGATATTAACAAGACCTGGCAATGGCTAAGAGCAGGAAAATTGAAGAAAGAGACCAATGGACTAATTCTGGCTGTACAAGACCAAGCTTTAAGGACAAATGCATATAAAGTCAAAATTGAGAAGACAGCAACAGACAGTAAGTGCCACCTATGCAAAGAAGCTGAAGAAACAGTGGACCACCTGGTAAGCTGTTGCAACAAGATTGCACAGACTGACTACAAGCAGCGGCATGACAAAGTAGCAACAATGGTGCATTGGAAGATCTGCAAAAAATATCATTTGCCTGTAAGCAAAAACTGGTGGGATCATAAAATAGAGAAAGTCATAGAAAATGATAAAATTAAACTGCTCTGGGACTTCAGAATTCAAACAGACAAGCATCTGCAACATAATACCCTAGACTTAATAATTGTCGATAAGAAAGACAAAAAAGTCTGGATAGTGGATGTGGTAGTGCCTGGAGACAGCAGAATAGACAAGAAAGAACTGGAGAAGATAACAAAATACAAAGACCTACAAATAGAAATAGAAAGACTGTGGCAAAAGCAAGCAAGGGTAGTACCAATAGTAATAGGCTCCTTGGGCGCAATCCCAAAACAACTGGAGCACCACTTGAACACCATTGGCATTGACAAATTTGTTATTAGTCAATTGCAAAAGGTGGCCTTATTAGGAACTGCTTCCATCCTGCGACGATACCTGTAATACCATCAAACATCCACATCTGCCTATCCCAGGTCCTGGGTAAGGACTCGATAGGTAGACAAAATGCCAAATCCAGTCTGAACATCTGGCTGACTGTGCGATGATCAATAATAATAATAATAATAAAACATTATATCCACAGTGTTCCTCTGATCCACTAATTTTGTCACTTGGTCAAAGAATGCAATAAGATTTGTCTGGCATGATCTGTTTTTGACAAATCCATGTTGGCATTTGGTTATGACTTTATTTGCCTCTAGGTGTTCACTGATTCATTGCTTGATTATCTTCCCCAGAATATTCCCAGGTATTGAGGTCATGTTGATAGGTCTGTAGTTTCCTGGATCTATTTTTCCCCCTTTTTTTGAAGATAGGAATTGCATCAGCTCTTTTCCAGTCCTCTGGTAGTTCCTGGTGCTCCAGGATCTTTGAAAGATATAGTTCAGTGGTTCTG